ATCCAGACGACTCCAAGCAGATGATCTCTGTCCTGTTCGGCGAGCTCCAGATCGAGCACTACCTTCGAGAACTCGAGCTTCCTGTGGCGGCACGCACACTCGATGACGACGGCTACATCAGCCCCGACGCACACCTCATCGCCAGGCAGTTTTCCACGGACATCCAGGACATGCTGGTTTTGGACGTCGCCGAGCCGCTAGAATACCTGGACTGGCGCGGCAACATCGTGGAGCTTTTCACGGACCCAGAGGTCGCGGAGGCCTTCTGCGGCGTGGACGTGGGCATGATGAGGGCTGCCTACCTTCGGCGCGCACTTGCGCCACCAGGGGCTCTGCCAGAGCTCCCGTCGGAAGTGGCCCCGTCAGACGAGGCCGAACTGTTCGTCTGCACGCTGAAAACGTCCGAGGGCACCACATGCATGTCTACGTGGAAGAGCGCACGCGCACTATATGCACACCAGCGGGGACTCGCACCAGGAGGGGAACACGGCATGTGCTGCATGCTATCACAGCTCACGATCACGAACGAGTGCATCATATGTGGTACGACATTCCCTACGCGCGTGGGTGCACAACATCACATCACAGCCGCCTGGAGGTCACATACATGCCGCACGGATCAGACTTGGGCCCCATATCCTATCACATCGCCAAAGTCACTTACATGCCCTATATGCTACGAGTCCTTCGAAGAGTACAGCATGATGCGCGCACATCTCCGTAGCCATCTACCTCAAGACGTACTGGGTGCTCACACGCTATCGATCCCACCGCCAGCACCTACACCAGCGCCTATTCCAGCACCGACCGACGCCCAGGATGCCTCCGTCGGGCGTGAACCCAACACCCGAGAGGGCGGGATGGCGTGCCCCCCAGGCGTCCTCAGTAGCGTCTGGAGCTGGTGGCAGTCGAGGCAGACCCGAGCGACCCGAGCGCTCCAGGAGCCAGACGCGCGAGCAGCGCAAAGGCCAGGACGGAGAATCGATGGAGGACGAGAGCTCGAAGTTCGACCCCAAGAAAGCAACCCTCAACCGAGTTCGGCGTCGACGGGGTGCCGCGTTCAAGGAAAAGACGGCGCCCAAGATGAGCCAGGAAATGAAGGACTTGCTTCTCGTCATCCTGAGGGCGACGTACCAGAACACCAGGCAGGTGCGCGAGCTCAAGGGATGCATCATCACGACAGTGAAAGTGGACGACACCGACCCCCTGGTGGAGGCGATCGAGACGGAGAACCGCAGCTACGCCAAGATGATCCGCCAAGAAGGAGAAAATCACGGAAAGGGCCCCCCAGCCCCAGGCGCAGCGATGGCCATGATGGAATCCTTGGTGAAGCAGGACATTGGAGCCAAGAGCAAGGAAGAGTTAACGGCGGCGATCCAGGCGATCAACGAGCTCGACGCGTACGAGGCCCAGGACATGTTCCCGATATGCAAGGTCGAGAAGGCGTACAAGAGCGGCACCGCGAAGATCATGTACCACTGCCGCGACATCTCAGTACGCCAGAAGATCATGACTGCCCTTCACAACGCCAGCAAGCCGGCCTGCCTGGGCCCTGCCCCCGCGGGCTTCGTGGAGGACGAGCTGGCCCTCTACATGGATGCGCTGGCCAACGATGTGTGAGTACTACCGACCTCGACGTGGAGATAGATGGACGGTCGATGAGGATGCTGAAAGCCACTCCAGCTCAGAGCCAGGTAGTGCAGCAGCTACGCACACCACCTCCATCTGCACCGAGTGCTACCACCTTCACGACTTCGGTCATTTCATGTGGGAAATCTCGAGCTGGTGCAAGCAGTGGCTCGAGCAGCTCGGCGCCGCCATGTACACCACCCTGCACGGCACCGAGTGCAACTACTTCGACTTCTGAAGCTTTCGCCTCCCGCACCCGCTCCTCACCACCTGCTCGAGACCGGCTCGAGAGGGAATATCCAGTCTCTGGAGCTTGGGGGGTAGGACTCCCACCCCCCCAGCGACGACCTCCCCCCCGTCCTCCGCCCGCTCGCAGTCCTTCTGCTGCTGCCTCCATGCCCCCTCGCCCCACTCGCCCTCCCCTTGACGCGCGCACCACCCTTCTCACCGCTCGGGGACGGGGGCGAAGCCGAGGGCCCCAGGGGAAAGCTCGGGGTCGGGGACGCCCCCCTCGGTGAGCTGGTTTGTGCGTGCGCCGCTTCTGTGCCGCACTGCTCACATTCACGAGCTGCGCGGTGCCAACACGAGACGCCAAATTGGCGAGCACCGTCTAGGTTCTCAGAGTATTCATTTCAATACCTGAAGTTTGGAACTCTGGACATTTGGTGTGAGAGAGAGAGAGAGTATGTATGTATGTACGTACGTACGTACGTATGTATGTATGTGATTGCCTGTATTGTTATAAACAAACAAACAAACGCACTTCTATAATAGCCTTCGGTTCATCCTGCCACCATGCCTGGGTTGTGTGTCAGAAGCCTCGTGGATGCAGGTTAGGGTGCAGGTTAGGGTGTCTTGGGATGCCTCTCGGGAACTTCTTGGATCCAGGTTTGAAGCCTCCGTGGAGCCTCGCTTAGGCCTCTTGGGGGTCTCTTTAGGGCGTGTCGGGGGCCTTGGGGGCCATCTTGCTGGGGGGTAAGATTCGAACTGCCAGTTTGGTTCCCCCCCTTGGGGCCCCTTGGGGAGGGCCTCTTTGCCGTCCTGTGGGCCTCTGGGGCCGTTCGGGGGCCCTGCTGGGTCGTTTTGGGGGTCGTCTCGGTGCGATGTTGAGTGGTAGTCTTAGCGCTTCGGGGAGCCAAAAAAACAGAAATGCGGAAACCGTTCAAAAACCTTCAGAAATTCAATGCATGTTGCTTCTTGGTGCCTTCCTAGTGGTGCTCTTGGAGGCTTCTCACGCGTCTTGGAGGCCTGCTGGGCCGTCCAGAGGCCATCTTGGCCGTCCTGGTGCGATCTTTCGGCGATTCTGAGCCCTCGTGGACCGTCTGGACGGCCTCCCGGGGCTTGCTTGGCCCGTTTGGGGGCCCTCCTGTGCGAGAAGACCGTCCCCGAGGCCCACGCAGAACACCCGGGAAGCGCCCGAGAGCATATGGGAGAGCATCGTTTCGAACCACAGCCTCGGTGAGAACGACAGCGGCCAGCAGCCGGGGGCCCAGGCCTTGAAGAATCGAGAGTCTTGGTTGCATGGGCAGCACAGTTGTGAGCTTTTGGGCACAAGGGCCGGTGGCGGATCTATACATACATCGATGTAAACAAACAGACATACATACATACAAACAAACATACATACATACATACATACATGAATGCATGCATGCTCGCATACATACAAACATACTTACATACATACTATCATACGATCATACATACATACTGTTTTATACACACACACACAAACCAACAAACAAACAAACAAACAAACAAACAAACAAACAGACAGACAAACAAACACACACGCCAGGCACCGCTGTGATAAATCAACATGGGGCGGCGGATCGGCCCGTCCCGCCACTGTGCCTGGATTGTTGGTCAAAGTCCTCAGGGATGATTGTTGGGGTCCCCTTGGGGATAGTTGTCTCGCCTCTTGGGGGGAGTTTTGGGCCCCCTACACACGGCTTGGCAACTTAGTACGAATTTTAAGATCGGCCGATGAGGCCCAGAGGAAGAGCGTCGTCGGCAGCGTTCGAGCAAGGCGCGCAGCCTCGGCCCCAGGAGTGCAAGCGGAAGGCCCCCCCCCAGGACATTGCAAACGGTGAAGGACCAGGGTTCTGAACCATGGCACGGGCATCCGGGCCTGGGGATCCGAGCGGGCATCCGCTGGAGATTGAATTGGGACCCAGTCTGATTTTACGGGATCCGACTTTCTGGGCCGCCGAAAAATTATTGCGTTTGGAGGGGATTCAATCCGACCATTCTACCTTGATATAGCACTATCTAAGGCCAAGAAAGAATCCTGGGGTCCGCGCGACGGAGAAGGCAGCGGGGGGGGCGACCAGGGGATGGGGCATTCTGAAGATTTGCCGAGAGCTGAGGGGGGAGCTTCTAGAGATTTACCGAGCGTGGGGGGGGGCTTCTAGACATTTATTCAGCTCTGGGGTGGGGGGGCTTCTAGAAATTGATTCCGCTCCACGGCGGGTGGGCTACTAAAAATGTATTCAGCTCTGGGGTGGGAGGGCTTCCAGAGGTCTACTCAGCGCTCTTGCGCCCCGCCGCCACCGCCCGCCGCCGCCCGCTGCCGCCCCCCGCCGCCGCCCGCCGCCGCCGCCGCCGCCGCCGCCCGCCGCTCGCCGCCGCCGTCCGCCGCCGCCGCCGCCACCCGCGACACGCCGAGAACACCATATCCATCGCGTCGCCGCTCCCCCCTGTCCGACGCGGTAGACGCCGAGGGCGACGGCTCCGAGCGCGGGGGGCGCTCGGGGCCCAGTGGCCTTCTTTTATAAAAGGCACGCCCCTCCCCCATCCCCGGCGGGGCGGCGCGGACGGGCCGCGGGCCACGTTTAATTAGTATTACAATAGAAGAGTGCCCGGCGAACTCTCCGAGGGCGGCGGTTCCGGCTTCGTTCCACGATGGTCCGGAGTTTCTACGAAATGTTGTTGTAAATTCGCACGCGTCCTGCTTGGTTTCAGTTTGGTTCCAAGATGGTTCCGAAGTTGCAAGTCCACGAAACCCAATGAATTCACGCGTATCTTGTTTGGTTCTAGTTTGGTTCCACGATGGCTCCGACGTTGCACAAATCACGCGTTCCAGTTTAAGTCACATGGTTCTTGCTTGGTTCCAGCTTGGTTCCACGATGGTTCCGACGTTGCCCAGGCCCCCCTGGCCGCTTGCCGCCGCCGCCGCCCGCCGCCGCCGCCCGCCGCCGCCGCCCGCCGCCGCCGCCGCCGCGGCCACCCGCCGTTCGCCGCCGCCGTCCGCCGCCGCCGCCCGCCCGCCGCCGCCGCCGCCCGCCGCTGTGTCATCCTCTGACCTGCGCTCTGCTGCTTATTTTTTCCTTGCGCTCAGGCCACTCCTGCCGCCCATCCCGTTGGATCGCATGACCGCGCAGGCGCAGACGTGCGTGGAGACACGCGTATTCAGGCTCACTGACTTGCGTCAACAGTATGTAATTGTCCGTATGGGGGCCTATTGGGGGCCCCAGGGCAGCTTTTTACAGGCCTTTGGGGGCCCTGGGGGCTTCTTGGCGGCCTTTCGAGCCTCTTGAGGGCCTCTTCGGGCCGAGGGCTCAAAATGTCCGTTCGGGTTCCCCGTTCGGGCCCCCTCTCGGAGTCGTTTTGGGGGCCGTTTGGGCCGTTTTGGAAGCTTATTGGACCGTATTGGGGCCATATTGGTCTGTTTGGGGGCCTTTTTAGATGCCCTTTGGAGCGGTTTCGTCGGCTTTTTGTGCCGCTTTAGAGCGTCGGGATTTCGAAAAGCCGAAAACTCCAAAATCAGCATCTTGGGCGTATTGGTGCGATCTTGGGGCGTCTCGGGGCCTTCTTGGGCCGTTTCGGGTGCCCATTGGGGCCCTCTTGGCCCGTCTCGGGGCCCTCTGGGGTCCGAGAAAGAAGTACGGGGGAGCCGTGGGGAAACGCGGGAAAACCAAAGAGATGCGTGAATTCGGGGTCTGGGCCCTTCTTAAACTCTTCAGGAGTGAGGACTGAGGCTCAGGGGATTAGGCACAGGACCCGAGGGCGCGCCCGCTCTGTACCCAGCGGCGCCGTGGCGGATATATACAAAGAAACCATGTTCGCCAGAGTGGACCCCAAACAGCGTGACACTAGCAACCTACGTTGTGCAATATAAGTGGAGCAAAATTCCTCGTTCTTATTGTTCTACAAGCCTGACGACGGGAACAACCCGCCCCCAAAAAAAACAATTGAACTCCCAGGATCACGGGCTTTGGGGACCCCTGGACGCCCTTGGAAGAGGTCCTCCAGCCTCGCCGCTCCTCCCAGGGCGGTTTGCCGGACCTTGCCCAGCAAACCGAAAGCGACCAGAGAAGAGGTCGAAAGGGAGCAGGAGAACCCCAAGACAGCGCAAGACGGTTTCAAGACGACCCAAGAGGCCGCTTTCAGGAGGGACCTCAAGAAGCAAAAATCCTCACGTTTCCTTGTTTGGGGAAACCGTGCATGTTTAGCATATTCGCGTTCTGTGTCGTAGCAGTGTTCACGACGGCCCAAGAGGCTTCCGGTATCGCCCCAGAACGACCCAAGAGGCGCCTAACGGGGCTTCAAGACAGCCCTAGAAGGCCCCAAGACGGCCCCAAGCCAACCCGAAAGAAGCTCACAAGGCCCCCGAAGGCTCCCAAGAGAGACCCACGAGGGCATGTGAGGTCCCCAGGAGGGTCCATGATGGCCCCGACAAGGCCCGTAGAGGGCCGAAATTCCCCAAGAAGGCCCGAGCACGGCCAACAAAAGGGAACCCAAGACGGCCCAGGGACCAGGAGGCTTCCAGGGGTCCCCAAAGCCTTAGAGAGGCATTCGTGACGCCCTCAAGACAATTCCAACGATCAGCCTTCGCAAAACTGCGGCAAGCGGGGTTGGTTCAGAACGCCAGGCGAAAGCGAGGATGAATGAGAGGAACGACGTGGAACGATAAAGCGATGTTTTCAATGTGCTTTGCATTGCGTGGCCGGGCATCTTAAGCCACGAGCGAGCCCGTGTGGTGGCCACGCGAAGGACCCCGAATGTCATTCCTTTGCAGGGTCGTGCGTCTTCCAAGAGGCGTCTTCCTACGAAATACACCAAATTGACCCGAATCCCAGGTGTGCAACAAATTCAAACGCAAGCAAGAAAGCGGGGCAAGCAAGCGCAAGCGAGACTAGGCATAGGCACAGGCGTAGGCATAGGAGTTAGGGGGAGGCATAGGCATTGGCATTGGCATAGCCATAGGAATCAGGGGGGGCATAGGAATTAGGGGGGCAACCGACCAATTAGTAGGGTTTGAGTTAGAACTCCTATAGGACAAGCCTAGTTGGAGAATTTCCACAGCCAAGGCGGCATTGTTTGACAGCGTATTGCTTCGTATTCTGAGGCATTGCTTGGCAGTGCGTTGCTTCGTTTGACATTCATTCGCATGGCTTACCATTGCTTCGCGTTGCGCACCCAGACAGCCTGGGACACGAGCGGGCCAGTGTGCGGACCCCACGAAGGCTCTCCACGTCACTCACGGGAAGCTGTTCTTCAAGCGTGTACGCACCCATGCTTTAAACCGCCACATGCGCCACATCCTCCATGTCTGGATTCGCTGGCTCTGATTCTGGCGAAACCCTGCCGTTTCGGAGCCTCCAGGTGGCGTTTTCGTCGCCACGTCATCGGGTCCGCCTCGAAATTCGTCCAAACGCACCCCAATAGACATTCGGGTGGCGCACGAGCGCGTGAATCGAGGGCGAGAGCAAATAGGTAACGGGTAAGGGGACTGGAGAGGAAATTGTTAATCTCAAACGCAAAAACATGACGCCCAGTGACAACAGATGCGAAGTTTGAAGGATCAAGGTGTTCGGCGGGAAGCGCCAACGCAGTCTCGTGTGTATATATGTATACATACATATGCAT